GTTTTATACCTCCTCAAATATTTTTATTCTTTAAAAAAAAAAAAAAAAAAAAAAAAAAGTGGGACTTCCCATCCTCTAACAGTATACTTTATTATATACGTGACAGGATACTATGAGCTTTATCACTTGTATTCTTCTACTGACTTTCAGTCAATCACAGCAGCTGCTAACAACACTGTCCTCTTGTAGGACATTACTCCTCACCTCACTTTTGGCTCTTCAATGTCTCTTATCCTTTTCTTAAATAGAATTATTCCCTCCACTCCAAAAGCAAACACAAAATGACTCAGGCATTGTCAAAAATACTTTAGACTCAATTTTGATGCCAAGGAATATATATAGAGAGAGAGGTTACTGGATACACTGACTCTCAATACACTCTCCTGTTAATACCAATAAGAGAGCTAGATTATCAGCATAGTGTAAAAAAAAAAGTATCTATCTCCTATTTTTGTTAACTATGCCTATTGCATAGAGAATAAAGTGGGGCTTGGTTGTGTTAGCTGTTTTAAATATACAGAAAAATAGGCATTCTTTATACCAAGGTAAATACCATTGAAATGGAAATAATAGAGCACAGAAGAAATTCAAAAGGAAAAAAAAAAGTAAAAATATATTCTCAATGAAAGCAAAGTTTTTCTTCTTAGCCATTAATTAACTACCCTTATTGGTTTGATGATCTTTTTCCCTGGAGCCTAGATGCAAAAAAAAGTTTGTCTTCTTTAAATAATATGTATAGAAATAATCAAGACACCAGTTTTTCATAATTTTGATAAATAATATGTATTTAGTATATACAGGTTACTTCATGATATTGTTGAGAGCCTAGTTTTGTTAACAAGCTAAATTTTCACCACTGAAAAACAGTGCTAAGGTCAAATAGCATGACAGAGAGTCTCACAGCAAGCATGGACTATCTGAAACAGAGTTCAGGCTGAATGTAACAGCATTGCATATTCCATGTCTCAGCTTTTCATGCTATTTTATAGAATTTTGACTATTATTCCAAATAAAATAAAGATATACCTCATGCATCTTTTGAGCATGAAGAAAACCTTGAAAAAGAAGTGATGTAAGTGCAAACTGGAATCAACAAACAGTTTAGAGGTGTAAACTGCTCTGTTCATCCTAATAACCTTAAAATAATAGTTTCAGTGCCAATATTAACTGCACCATTGAATGACAGAAAGAGAATTATACAATTATTATATATACTGTCACTGGAGATGATGATTGCTCATGTTTGCTCCTTGAAATATTTCTTAAGAGAAGCATCTAATTCTTCAAATCAATTAGAGAAGCTCGTTTTAAAGGAAAGTGAAGTCCAAATAGCTCAACATAGTCTAAAGACATTTGAAATCCAAGTGACAAGAAGTGAGGGCCAAACTGCATGTGGGAAGAAAAGGAGCATGCTGAACACTGCACAGCCTCCTCAGTAGGACCTTATTTTGACAGTCCCAATATGGTGGAAATTTATTTTGCAAGCAAAGTACACAAATATAAGTTTCCCTTTTTTTGACATTTAAATACAAATTGCTATGTGCTGCAGTACGAGTCACACTTCTGACTTCTGAATCTCAAAGAGCCTTAAATGTTACAACTCATTTTATGACTCACTCTATTACCTGTATTATTTCTTCACTAATAAACATTCCTGCAAAAAGCATACATTACTGAAAATCTAACTTGATCTTTCTTGGATGTTTCAGTAGGGACTGGTACCCATGTCTCTAACACACTTTCATGTATGATGTAGAGATCGGCTACCTAAATCCTCTGTAAGCGAAACCTATGCCACATTACTGGTAATTGATAATAATTATGATTTGACATTTATGAGCCATAACAGCAAACATTTGAAGTTCATCACAGTATGTAGAAGCCCTTTCAAAAAACATAAAATCTTGGTCTAAAGACATATCTTAGATATATGTATCTTAGACAAACAAGAAAACGTTATTCACCATGAGGGTAGTTTAACACTGGAAAAGGTGTCCAGCAATATTACAGTGTCTCCAGCCTTGAAGATATTGAAAATGTAATGGGAAAACGCCCTGAGCAACCTGCTTTAGTTGACCCGGCTTTCAGCAGGCGCTTGGATCAAATGACCTCCACACATCCCTTCCAAATTATTTTTTCCCATGGTTCTATAATTAAGTATTTGTATTTAAATTATTTTATTAAATTCTTTGACTTATCAACCCTTAAATAATACTGTGCATAGAAGAACACGAGGAACTTTCAGTTTCTTTTGTCTCCACACAGAATAATACTGATTTTGTGCTTTGAATAATACAGTATGGAAAGGGAAAACACACACTACCTAAACAAATTCTAGGGAAGAAAAGTGGTCACTGTGGATGCCCTAAGGCAAGATCCCAGCTTATATCCGCTCTAACAGGACAGGGAAAAACAAACAAACAAAAAACCAACCAAATGAAAAAAATCCTGGACCTTTTCCCAATGAGTTTTTGACCAGAATAACAGATTTGTGCAGATGAGACAGGGGTAGAAACAAATTAAAGAAATACTAGTAACTGGGGACAGACTATCATATGCTGTTTGAATATATAGCAAAGAAAAATATCAATTTAGGTGTGGACAATATGAGTGCAGAAACAAGAGAATACAAATTCAGCTGCTTTCATTAAAAAAAAAAAAAAAGCTTTACAAATACAAAATAACTAGTTCACAGAAAAAAAAAAAGATTCTTGCAGTGATTTATTAGCCAAAAGTTTATGTTAACAGGCTTTTTAGCTACAAGTTTTTATTTAATGAGAAGCTTACATTGAAATATTGGGATTTAAAGTGTCATTTTCCTTACCTGAATCATGGACTCGGACAGCTGTGTTTCATCTACTTCCAATATCATCATTTTGATTTCCTCATAAGGCACTCGGAAAGAGCCAAGGAAAATTGCTAAAACAAAGATTCAACACATAATGAAGAAAGCAAGAGAACAACAATCTTTTTTCTACTTGCAAAATACCAGTTAAACAGGCTATTGCATCTACAGGTTTACAAACACTACGCAAAGTAATACAGATAAGAGATAATAATTTTAAATATATTTTTAATTACTGTTCTCCTACAATCCCAGCATTCTCTATGTCTTTGTTACGCACAAGATCCAGCATCACAGAAGACCGTAAGCAAGCACTGACAAGTCTATTCTTCAGGGTAAACATTGCTGTTACAGTATTTTGTGCTGAGGTGACAAATACACATTTTTCTTCAGTGGTCTTGCCAGAGCTTTCTCATTAAAAAAACACCATGAGAAACCAAAACCATATAAACTTAGAAAACTAATTGCTCTTATAAATACTGTTTATTTCCTCACCATAATCCAGTCATTTCCTATTTTATCCCTGCCAGCATTTAGGAAGCTATTCTTTATAGAACTCCTCTCTATCAAAACTTTATCATCTTTATTTCATATTATTGCATAATACTGAGTTTTGCCTTCTTTCTATGAAGTACATTAGTGATGAGCAGACATCCTGTAGACATTATGGTGTCTTTTACTGGGGCAGGGCGGGGCCAGGGTGTGAGGGGAACAGAGTGTGGGGACAGGCAGTGTTCCTTGATGAATATGTTGAAAATATATGTAAATAATTAGAATTATAGCTGTTTGTCTGTACTTCAATACATACAAGAGAGAATAATTTCAGTCTTAAGCAAGCGACAACCTTTAACTGTTTTCTGGATCTTTTTCAACATGTTTCCATTGTATCAATTGACATGTTTGGGCTTAACACCAAATATACATCTTCGCATATGCTTTAAACAAAAAATGGTTACGAGGCAGTCAGACAAGAGAGAAAGATATTTTTACGGAACAGTTATACAACATTAGTCTGTTATAAAACCAGAATCTACTTACACAGATTCTGTGCAATCTTTGGATCCAAAACTTTTAATTCTTTGATTCGTTTCTTAATGGATTTCTTTTCCTCAAACTCGTCTTCCTCTTTTTTTACTGTCAAAGTAAACACAGATACACTTAATGCTAATTCTTAATATTTAGAGAAAATATTAATAAGTTCAAAAAACATTTGCTATCAAGTGCAGTCAATTCACAAAGAAAACCTATCTAAGAACATACAGGCAAAAAAATACAGGGTTTGCATTTATTGCTCGTATTCTCAAAATTTTTACTCTTCAGTCAAAATTGTCAGCATGTTAGCATTCTACAACAAGATTTTTATTATTTTCATATATAAAAACTGAGTAAGATGCTAACGTTAATTGCACAACCAGTCTGAGGCCATGAAAGTCATACTTAACATACCACAGAATCACAGAATGTTTTGGGTTGGAAGGGACCCCTAGAGGTCATCTAGTCCAACCACCCTGCAGTGAGCAGGGACACCGCTAACTAGATCAGGTTGCTCAGAGCCCCATACAACCTGGC